TAAACTAAATTCCTTCATTACAGCCTCATTAGCGCCACTAATAAGACACACGGTTTACCAGCATGTCTGTAAACATATATTCAGCCTCCCACCGGCGCTGAAAGGCTCTGCTTTCAGAGTCAACTTGTCTCTGCACCATCGTGAGCGGCGAGCTTGATGCGGGAATGTTCCCAGTTAGCCTAGCGCTCAGCAAGGAGGCTGCAGCGCTGCATCATGGGATCTGTAGTTTGTATATTACTAGCGCCTCATATCGCCAGGCCATGCATAACAATAATAATACATCTATATAAAATGATCCCGCGGGCCTTGACTTTGACACGTTGAAAACGTTCGATTCATTAGGACCACATCATGTAACGGAGATCAGTGGAGCCTTTGTTTACTGTGACCAGGCCACAGCTGGACGGGTGGGAAACCTGCTGTAGAGGCTTGAACTTCAAACACGCCCAAAACATGTTTGAAAACATATTTTCATGACATTAAACCGTGCGACTATCCCAGGAAGTTGATTCTGTTTCTCACACTGAAAAAAAACACTCCGAACAGTAAATAAGATCCACGTCAATAACAAATCTGAGATGACGGAAATAAAAAGACAATAACAAAATCAAACCAGAAACCGGTTCAGACCTGGTTCAGGTGCGTTCGACTCACCTCCAGGCCGGCTTGGCTGAATGTTTCCTGCCAGTGAAGAGCGCCTCGTTGGCTGCTCGAAGTTTGATCATCCTCTCGGTTTCTTGTTCGCTCACTGTCAACAAGAGGTGGGGGGTGGGGCGGAGCCATTAAACACTCGGTCCTGCGTGAGGTGTGATTATACCTGATGATGTCAGCCAGGTGCGTCTGCCTACTTTTATACGAGCACTCTGTCATCCTCCTCCAGCCCATCGGGATGCCCTCGGGGGGCGGAGGCTCCGTGTGAACCCCCCCATCATCCGCTGCCGTTTCGGCTGCCACCGTGTCCTCCATCTCCGTCTTGATGAGGAACTCCAGGATGTCGGTGTTCTCCTGGTTCTGATTGGACTGGCAGTTGCCACGGTGACCGGCGTTGCCAGCGGTCTCTGGGCTCAGCACCAGGTTGCTGTTGTAGAGGCGACCCTGCATGGCTTCATCCATGATGTGGAACCACGGCCACGACTCCACAACGCCCCCCATGTGGTCCTGGCCCTGGTATGGCTGCTTCAGGTCCTGGAAAGAGGAGAACAGTGACCCCTGCAGGCTGAAACAGGGACGTACAGTAAGAGCTGCCTGCAGGCGAGCGTCAGCAGAAAAACTGTTCTGCAAACTGCGTCACAGAAAGAAACGTGCCAAATAAAAAGGATTAAACATGAAGACATTTAAAGGTCTTTTTCCTCCAGTCGACTCCCTGAAAGATTCACCAAGAAGCAGACAGATGTGCTCATCGGAAAAATCTCATTAAAAACAAACAAACAAAAAAAACCAAACAAACAAACAAACACACACCGTCTCTCCTCATGTCTGAAAAAGTCCCCAAAACCTGATAACTGGTTGTTCCACCCTCGCCCAGACTGATTTAAGTCCAGACTCGTGGTGTTTGCTGGTTGAGATCTTCAGCCTGCTTCACTTTGTCAAACAGCTTCTATTTAAGGGATTTCTGAGTCACCACTAGGGATGGGTACCGGTATCCGGTGTCATTACGGCACCGGTTCTGACATTAACTGTACTAACCAGACCGAAAAGCAGCGCACATTTCGGTGCTTTTTTTCTTGAGATGTCACACACTTTGGATTCTAGCCAATCATTTTACGTTTCCGAGGATAGTAGGCGGGTCCAGGTACGTACGTTCTTTTAGAGCAGAGCTACAGATTTAAAATGTCCAAGGCGAAGCGGTCAGAGTCTGGCTGTACTTCACAGCAAAAGATGCAAACTCAGCAGCAACAAGTGCTTTAAGGTGATACTGTGATACTGTCAAAGGAGGCAACACCAAGAATCTGATGAAACACCTGGTGACGCAAAGCGTTTTTTAAAAGCTGAGAAATGCACCGTATTTGATAGCTTGCTGCGAGACCTCACACCGAGCACATCTACTGCGGGTGTGGTGGCTGTTATCTGACCCGGAGTTAGCAACATCCCCCAAAAACACGAAGAGCAGAGTCCTGGCCCCTAGCCCTGCCAGTGTAGCAGAAATGATGAGGATGATGATGCAGCAGCAGCCGTTCTTCTCTGCGTGAGTAGCTTCATGTTGTTCGTGTGTAATTTACGTTGAGCAGGCTGACTTTCACAGACATGAGGAGAAGAACAGCAGCTACATGGCATCTCATGTACCTTATATTTTGTCCGCAGGTTGTCCCATTTCTTGGCGATCTGGTCTGCCGTCAGCTTCCCTTCCAGACCGAGGCCTTTCAGGATGGTGCTGAGGAGACAGGAAGCAGGACATGAGCACTCACAGAGGCCGTGGGAACTTTATGAGGGTGCTGCGACCGGTCCTGGCCGCTGGCACCTGGATCTCTCAGGTTAAACTGCTTCTGCTGCTCCTCGGTCACCTGTCGCTTGCTCAGGTGAGTCCAGGAGCAGGCGGGCTCATACCTCCAGGCTATCTTTGCAGAGTTTCTCTTCCCTGTGAACAGGGCCTCGTTGGACGCCCTGAACTCGATCAGCCTTTTCACATCCTCTTCGGTCACTGCAGGCAGGCAGCAGAGGTCAAAGGTCAGTAGCTTAAACACATGGAGCAGCACTTTTAAGGGTACAGGTACTTACTCTTATAGGAGTTCTCTGGGAAGTGAGGCAGCGGGTGGGGGGCCGGCTCCATGGTGATCATGAGAGGACACAGCTAGGAGACAAGGAAGGAAGGAAGGAAGGAAGGAAGGAAGGAAGGAAGAGGAGGAGGAGGAGGAGGAGGAGGAGGAGATGTGCTGTGTTCAGGCCCGATGCTAACTACATCCGCTAGCGCATCCTGTTGCTCCTACAACGGGGCTCCTCCGTCCATCACGGGGGCCGGGCCGTGTCTGTGGGCGGGGGCCGCCGTCTCCTCCCGGTGAACCGTTAGCGGCCAGAGGCTGCAAGCTAACTCAGACGGCTAAAGCTAAACAACAAACAGACCGCGGAGCCGGGCTTCCCGCCGCACAGAGAGACACCGGCTCCTGTTAGCTCGGCTCGGCCCCGACCTCCGCCTCCTCTCGGTATCTTATGTCACCTCCTCCGACGGGCGGAAAAGCGTGAATTAAAGCGTCCCCGTTAACGGAGCTAGCCTGCATCCCGACGCTCTGCTCCGAGAGAAGGGTACGCTCGATATCTCCACCCGGGCCTGGCCGCTATCACCTGACCTCCGGCTCGAGAGGGCGGGGTCAACACAAACACAACCAGCTCGTTTTTTCCCCGTGTATTATTATTATTATTATTATTATTATTATTGCTTTTTTTTTTACATTAAGTAAATATGGGGATTTATAACATATATATGGATATAAAACAGGACTGCCTGAAATTGTAATAACTAACTTTCGCACTTTAGTGGTAAAAGCTTTTAGGCAGGAAGGGGTTCAACTCCAGGCCTCGAGGGCGTCCTTTAGATGTGTCCTTGATCCAACACAGCTGATTTAAATGGCTAAATGACCTCCTCAACATGTCCTGTAGTTCTCCAGAGGCCTGGTAAGGAACTCATCATTTAATTCAGGTGTGTTGATCCAGGGTGAGACCTAAAACCTGCAGGACACCGGCCCTCGAGGCCTGGAGTTGGACACTCCTGCTTTTTTTTTGCCTGTCCCGTTTGGTTCTTTAGCTGTCATTGAAGAGTTGATGACTGAAGGCCAACAAAGATATCCAACAGATTTACTTTACCAAGTGGATCATCACGGCTTTGTCGTATTGATCCATTTGATCAGCCTTTGTTGTTATTATTTATTTTATTTAATTTTCAGTAGTTACAAATGGGACAGACATGGCTGGGGAATAGGAAAGGGAGAAAGAAAGATGAAGGAACAGAAAAACAGAGGGGAAGAGGGACAGTGAGAAAGGACACTTAAAAAGAAAATATATCCCAGATCACCTGTTGAGAGAAAAAAAGACCCCTGCTTTTACGTATTTACCACATATTTGTCTAAATTAGGGAACTCTGTCACTGAACTAACACAGCCAACTCCCTCAGCGTGTTTGTAGTCTTGGCTCATATTGTCTTCATATTAAATTATTTTGTGCTTTTTACAGAACTTTTTAAACATTGCACTCAACAACAAACAAATCCTCCCTACTGGCCCCCAGGCCGCAAGTTTGAGACCCTGGACTGGACAGAAGCAGTATTTTAGGCTGTAAAAGCAGACAGTATCAGCTTCATATAGAATGTGCATGTAGGTTCATGCAGCTCAGTCCCAGAACAGGAACAACGCATTTAAAATCCAGTCTGTAACAAATGCAAATGTTCACGTTGACAAGTCAAAAATAGCTTCAAGGGAAGACAGTTACGTTCAGGCCATCAGTCAGGACCAACATATTTAAGGAGTAATGCAGAAAAATAAGAGAATGAATAAAACCACCTGAGGTTACTGTTTTATCGTCTGTAAGATTCTGTTTTCTGTAATAAATAAGTCAAATATTTGGTTAATTATAATACAAGTGAATGTGTTTGATTTCTTTTTTGTTCAGAGCGATGTTCAGTTAATAGGAGCTGCTTTTGTCTTTTAAATCTTTCATTTCACTTTCATTTATGTATAAATGTGTTAATGTTTACACACACGCGCGCCTCGTCTCCTCTGCTGCCCCCTGCAGGCACCAGGAAGCCTCTGCTGAGCCTCCTGCAGCTCAACGTCAAGGTCATCACATTCACCACACCCAACACCGGAAATGCACTTTCATAATTAAATTCCTCTCATTCGTTAAAGCTATTTGACAAGTTACCTGAACATCTTTGCAATTTCCCGTTGCACTGAATTATTGATTAACTATATGATCAGCCTGTAATTGAGTCCAATCGATATTATACTCAGTCTGTTATAGCGCATGGTCTACTTTGTTCTTTAATGACCAAAAACATCATAAACGGCACCTTTAGTGTATTATTTTGAAAGTCCAGGCCGGAACCTCACCTATATCATGTTCTAACCTGACTCAGGTCGATGCTCGGGTGGTGCTGAGGACATCCTGATGGCTGAATGATGGAGTCCGTGCTGCCATTCCCGTCGGTTTAAGACACCCCGCTCAGGAACACCACCTTTATTCAACTCCATCAGCTCACTCCCGCCCAGGTAACGTCGCGTGACTCTAAGCGGGTTTTATCAGTGCAGTCATCAGTGTCACCTGCAGAGAGACGCGCGTGTCGTTATGGTGATAGGAACCAACAAACGCGTAAAGAAGGATGCTGATGCTCGCGTTGGTTTCTGTTAATATGGAGTTAGATTCTTTTTTGTGACCACCGTGGAAATGATGCCACCTGCACGCACCTGCAGGAATAAGAGACTGTTTTGGACAATTAACTGTCGTCATTTCCGCCTTTCTGCCTCGACAGTAAACATGGGAGAGCAGAGGTCACATCCTCCAGGCTCTCACATACATCACCAGTCAACTTAAGACAGGTCCCAGCACTGTCTATGATCATGTAATGTAATATGTTGCAGGATGATAGCAGGTATAGTCAACTTGAAACAGTTTTTAAATTAGTTGTAACTGATTATTTTTGAACTGTGATGAATTATTGTTGTTTATATTCACGTATTCATTGTATTAACAAAATAAAGAGGAAATAACACAATAATATTACAGTTCTATATAGAGATGGACCGATCCGATATTACGTATCGGTATCGGTCCGATACTGACCTAAATTACTGGATCGGATAT